GGGGGGGCCAGCAGGGACAGCATGGCCAGGCTGTGGACAGATTAAAGGAGGTCCCTGTCTGACTAACCTTAAAAACCAAACCAACTCATGGCATATTGACCCTATAGGACCGGGTAGAACTGCCCCTGTGGGTTTCCGATACTGTAACTCTTTACAGAAGTTGAAAGCCTCTTCTTTCTCCTGAAGACGGACTGCTGGTTCTGAACCACTGACCTTAACGGTTAGCAGCCCAAGACGTGACCACTACACCACCAGGGCTCCGCCAGGGTGGGGCTGGGGGCAGACAAATGAGCCCTGTCCACCGCCTCCACACACCCTCCCCGCACCAAGAGACCAGCAGTGAGCCAGGCTGTGGCTCCTCCCTCTCTCCCACCCACCCACTTCCCCAATCTCTTCCAAAGGGCAAGCGGCCAAGACCTTCCTCTCAACCACATTCCTTTCCATCCTCGCCCCACCTCTGACACGGTCCCACGTCGCTTCCGCCCAGATCGTGACAAGGACCCTAGGCTTGATCTTTCGGGAGCACAGTAGCCCCCATCACATCCGTCCCAGGCAAGCTTCCCAGGGCACCCCTGCTACCCAGCAAGTGAGGCACAGATGCCTCACCCTGCCACTCAGGTCTCAGCAATCCAGCCGGTCCCCAACCAGCTGTCCAGCGGGCTTCCCTTGGTCCCCAGGCAATGACCTCACCAAGGGCCATGAAGATTGCCCTGCCTTTGAGCCCAGGCTGCCTGAAAACACACACACACACACACACACACACACACCACACACCCGGAGCCTGGTCCTTCCAGCTGTTCTAAATGTCCTGACCCTCTGTCATCTCCCCGCCAGGACCAGGGTGGAGGTGGACCCAGGTCCTCAGTATCCCAGTCGCCGCCTGGCCCGGGTTCAGGCGTGGGGACAGAGGCACAGACAAGGTCCTGTTGTCATGGCAGTGGCTTTTCCGTGGGCACGTGGGAGGCACCAGGAAAATGTGCTGAATGTGAGTCAATTAACTTGACTCTTGGAGTCTGAGCAATCTTGGTCTGTCGTTCCCTGCCCCCCACCCCACTCCCACCCCACCCTGCCCAGCAGGTTTGAGAAGCGTCCAGATCCTTTCTTCTTTTTTGTTTTAAATCCTCATTTCAACTTATATTTCTTTTTACCAACGACACGGATCTTTTCATTCTGCTTCATTGGAGGGAGGAGGAGGAGGAGGTAGAGGGCACCCGACTAGCCTCTCAGAGCCCTAATACCCTCATAAGGCCCCCTCCCTGGCTGCCACACCCAGGAACCCGGAAAGCCTCTTGCCCGCCTTGGCTCCAACAGCTACTTCCAGTGCCAAAAAGTCTGAGGAGGTGAGATGCTGCCGCCTACCCCCGGGCATGCCCCCTACCCCATGACCATCCAGAGGCCATGCCCACCCAGCCTATGAACCACCCACCCGCTCAGCATGCCCAGGATCTGATGGAGAGGGCAGCGGGGCGGTGTCCCAGAGGACGGCTGCCATTCGGCTGGGAAGCATCTTAACTTCTCCCCGGGAAGAATGCCCTGGTTGTCATAGCGATGGCACAGCCCAACTCTGGCCCCTGGCTTCCAGGGACAGGTCCCCACAACCCCCCCGTACTCACAGTGCAGCCAGGCATGTCCCCGGGGCATGGTGGCGTGCTGGGTGGCTGTAAAGCAGAGGCAGCTGCGGCCAGCACCGCTTCCACAGAGGCCCGGGCGGGGCCTACATGGCCTTGGATCAGCAGAGGGGCCACGAAGCAGGTGCTGGGCACCTGGGCAGGGGATGCAGGCAGGTGCTTCTTGAAGCAGCAGCACCCCGCCCTTATCTGCCAGGCAGTGAAGCGGGCAGTCAGGGGGCAGCGGCTGGCAGCACCTTCATCGACCGGGACTAGGTCTGACAGAGCCTCGGGGTCTCCCTTCCGGAGGAGGTGCGGTCCTGAAAGCCCCTGGGCACCGCGGCTGGGTGTGATTCCTTGGCCGTCTGCAGCTGCTCAATGTGAAATCTGTTCGGGGAGAGAAGGAGGGAGCCCAGTTATGTAAGAAGTGCACTGAGCTGCCACGCAGCCCGTCAGCCTGCGGTGGGCGCTGCACCCACTGCCTGCCCGGGGCTGTGCGGGAAGGTAGGGGCTCCCTCGGCCCTGGTGACCCTCGGGAGAGGTGGTAACACCAGAGCAACGTGGAACAAAAGCAGGGCCCGGCTGCATGAGCTGGGTGGGTTACACCCAGGGCCGCTGCCTGAGGAGGTGAGTTTAAAGGTAAGGGACAAGGGGGCTTCCAAACCCCCCTGGAAAGATTCCATTACCTTCTAATTCTGTCTCTCTAGGAACTCGTGGAAGCCCTCAACCCACGAGCGCTGGGGGTGTGGTGGTGAAGTGCTCGGTGTTAAACCAAAGGTCCAGGATTTGGACCCGCCCAGCCACTCCACCCCAAGGAGTCCCTGTGGTGTCCTGGTTACTCACTGGGCTGCGGTCAGCAAGGACGGCAGTTTGAAATGACCAGCCACTCCGAGGGAGAAAGGTGGGGCTGTCTACTCCCCTGAACAGCTAGCTTTTCAAGAACTCACAGGGACACTCCTACCCTGTCTTAGAGGGTCGCTATGAGTCGACACGTGCACTGAGTTTGGGTGTGGGGCGCTGCTCCGTGCAGAAAAGACCTGGGGATCTGCTCCCAGAAAGACCACCGCCTAGTGAGATGAGCCAGTCAGGGGGCCGCACAGCACCGATGAAACACACGACTTCCCTCTAGCTCTTTGGTGCTTCCTTCACCCCGCTATCGGTATCTCAAGTCCACCTTACAAATCCGATCAGACCAGAGCATGCACACTGCTACAGATGAGAGCCCCCAACACAGAGAATCCAGGACAGATAAACCCCTCAGGGCAAACAAGGAGAGTAGAGATACCAGGAGGATTAGGGGAGGGTCGGGGGAGAACGGGGGAATCGATCACAAGGATCAATTTAGAATCCCCTCCCAGGAGGATGAATAACTGAAAAGTGAGTGAGGGTGTGTGTGTGACAGAGGACGATGTAAGATATGGAAAAAATAATCTATAACCTTATCAAGGGTTTGTGAGGGAGGGCAGATGAGGGAGGGGGAAGAAATGGGGAGCTGATATCAGGGGCTCAAGTGGGAAGAGAATGCTTTGAAAATGATGATGGCGGCCTACGTGCAAATGTGCTTGGTACACTGGAGGAATGTATGGATTGTGATAAGAGATGTAAGAGCCCCCAATAAAAGTGTTTAAAAAAAAAAAAGACCACAGCCTAGGAAAGACCCGGGTAGAACCGAAGCCCCGGCACCCGCAGCGGCAAGGCTGGGGACTCACTGCCATTGATTCGATGCCGGCTCATTGCGACCCCACAGGACAGGGGGGAACTGCACCCTGTGCGTATCTGAAACTGGAGCTCCTTAGGGGAGCAGAAAACCCCGTGTTTCCACCTCGGAGCAGCTGGTGGTTTTGAACTGCTGAGCTCGCAGTTAGCAGCGCAATGTGTAACCAGACACCACCGGGGCTCCAGCCTCAGGCCGTGAAGCAGGACGAAGTAGCCATCTCCTACTTCCATCCACTGGGAGGCTGAGCCCCATCCTGGCATCGCCCAGCACCACTGCCTGTGTTACTAGGGTGGCCACAAGGAAGAATGGGTGCTCAGTCACTTCTGACGTCCTGGTAAACCAAGCACTTCAGTTTTCAATGTATTGCCAGTGACTGTTCTCTGGGAGCACTTCCTAAAGATCTGCTCACTGTTTCTCTGCCGCTCAAAGTTCACTGGACATCCTGAGTGTGCAGTCAGCCCATCTGGCAACACTGTGCTAGGGAGGTGGCAC